AAATATAACTTTTGATGGTTTCTCATTATTACACACCTATTATAATTGCTATTCAGTATTAAATCTTACGTACGCCATTTATGCCGTTTCGCTATTTACGGTAGGCCTTTTATTTGTAAGATAAATGTGTTCATTTTACCTCATCTCATTATCGTTTAAAATTTTAAAGCTGAATGAATTTTTATTAATCGTTATGCTGTATGCATCTTCGTTTATTCGCTCACTAGTTATAGTCATAGTAGTGTTAATCTTTGAATTACATTTTTTCTAGTCAGCGATATATACCATATTTGCCTATTTGATCAATTTATTTTATTTCATTTTATTTTATTTTATTTTTTTTTCTCCTTTTTTATTGTCAAATCTCTGCACTTCACAATTAAATTTGTTTTTTTTTTTTTTATAGTTATTTTGCTTTGAATATATGCAGTAAAATAGTTCAAGTTGTTACAAAATTACAATGAATTTTATTAGAATGAAAGCAACAAAGAAATAATTGATTACAAGCAAAAAAAAAAAAAAGAATAGGTTTATTATCAATAATAATACCATTGCAGCAAGTAAATAAATGTTTTATTATGATATCATTCGAAAGAAAAAAAAAATGCTTTATTTCAATTTTAAATCTAGTGAAATGACTAATAATCTTTTTTCGATTAAAATTAATGAATAAAGTTTCTGGTATATTTTATTAGACAAATTGTAAGAATATAATGCTACTTTTTAATTTAAAAAAGGAAAAAAAAGTAATTTTTGAATTGGAATTTTTTGCATTGCAATTTTTCCCAAATTCATTGATGTGGAAAGATTTGAGAAAAGCGAAAAAAAAAAAGAGAGAAAAAGACATTACATAATAGCTAGTTTGAAGCATAAATTAGATTTAAAATTTAACTTACTGAAAATTTGCAAAGCAAATTTACTTTAAATGAAGACTTTTTCATAAATGAATATTTCAGGGATAATTCTTATCTTATCAGTTATTATTTCTTTCTTTTTTTTAAAAATACTAAACTAATTTATCCTGAACTAATAAAGGGATTTGCTTATTTCCAAAAATCAATTGATGTATGATAGATAATATATGACAGTAATTTAGAAATTTTTTTCTTTAATTTTTCATTGATTTAATTTCCACAACCGTTAATCGTTCGTTTTTGAGAATGTGCTTATCTCATGTTATTGTAATTTTAAAAAAAAAATAGTCATTTTTACACATTTCATTTGTATATTAAATTCATTGGGGAAAATAAAATTAGCTTTGCTTACTTTTTGGAATTTTGCTGATAAAACTTTTTCAATTGTCGATTGCAAAAGAAACGGCAATTTTTCGAACAAAAAAAAAAAAAAAAAAATTAAAAAAAAACCAAATAACTGCAAATTCACGTTTATAAGAGGATTATCTTGTATTAAATGTAGAAAAATAGTTGAGATGAATTTAATTCAATTTAGTATAATTATTGAATTTATTTTCAAACAAGAGGAAATTTCTTTTATTATGTGATGATAAGCTAAGTGAAAGTTTTTAAATGCTGTTTATCAAACGGAAATCAGTAATGGGAAATGATGATGAAAAAAGATGGTTACGAAAATGCGACTTTAATTTGTTTCATTTTAAATATTAAATGATACTACGAATTTGAACAGTATTCAAACTTAGTAATAAAAGGATTATTTTGCTAAAATTGCAGCAAAATATAATCTTGTTTTATTATGATGTTTAAATTGTTAATGTCTATTCAAAAAGGGATTATGCATTTTAAAAAAAAAAAATTATAAATTTATAAAAAAACAATGCATTTGCGTTTATTGATTTAAGCTAATATATAGCTTTTTTTAAATGAAATTTTTTCTCATAGTCTATGAAATAGATGAATAATAAATGGTTTCATCAGAAAAAGAAAAAAAATGAAACGATGAAGTGCTTTTTTTTGGATTTTACAAAAACATTTTGGAACAACATATTTTCAATAAAATTATATTCAAATATTGATTTTATTTATTTTTTGTTTTCTTAATCTCAAAATTATGCTAAAAAACTTTAACATTCGAAATCAATGAAATTTCATAACTGAAATTTATTAATGCATTTTTGCGGTTATTTTTCATGGTAACAAAAATTCTCTTTTTTATTGCAAAATTTTTAAAATTTCAAAATAACGTATCATAGATTCATCGGATGATCATTCAAGAAAATCTCATATTTCTAATTTTGAGAATCTGATTATCATTATTCGATAAAATGATGCCTGTGTATTATTAGAGAGAAAGTAAAATGAATAATGATGAAATTTTTTTTTTTTTTGGATAACAGAAAAGAGAACAAAAAAAATTGTTTATTTAATAAAACTAAAAAATTAGTCTTTAATCTATTAAACAAATCATTATCTATCATTCTAACATAGTTTTAAAACAAAACAAACCAAAATTCAAAATGTAAAATGATTTGATAAAGATCATTAATGTAAAAGAAATAAAGAAAGCCATGATCCAATTAAATTATTTCTTTTAACACATAATTTAACAAAATGACAAAATAAAAAAAGAACTGATGGAAGTAAGAAAGAGGATGGATGAGGGAATACGGATTGTGAAAAAAAGAAAAGGAAAGGAAGAAAAAAAAAGAACCAAAAAACTTGTAATATTGAGATGCTTCTTCTGTTCATTCGTTATTTGTTGAGTGACTATTGTTAATGATTGAATTATAATTAAATTATCCCTTTGGCAAATTGATTAGCTTTCTCCTTCTCCTTCTTCTCTTTTACTTTTTTAGTTGTAATTTGCTGAAAATTTCAAGTAAAAATTGAAACATATAAAATGATTTTATTTGTGGTAAGCAAAAGAATTTATTTGTTTGCAATTTAATTATAAAGTTATTTCAAAAAAATCTAATTTATTAAGTATTACGGGAGAGAAATTGTTATTTTTCTGCATTAAATGTGACAGCATATTGTATTAATGATAAATCATGTAATCACACTCATTTATCTTTTATCTTATCTATTATCACAATTGCTTCGTATTTTTCTTTTTCTTTATATTTTCTGCAACTTGCT